ACCAAAAAATAAAATAGAACTATTCAATTTATTAAAAGAGGAATGGTTTAATACTATTCCAGTGAGAATTAATAGATAATAGATAGTATGCCACAAAGAGTGGATGCTTGCTTTAAAAAATAAAGGAAACCCGACAAGATATTGATTTCATTTGCAATAAGCAATGGCTTGTACATAAATTTTTATTGTATATATATATAGAGATAAAAAATTAGAAGCTATTGAAAATCAAATTTTATATGATGACGATGGTGCTCAACCAGGATTAGACCTTTTAATCAACATAATTTCTTCTTCATTTGATAAGATATTAGAGTAGTTTGGCAAATTTCTTAGTTCTTAGCAATAATTATTAGAATATATTGGTTACTCAATTGGTAAATCTATCATTTTATTATTTTTTTTCAAAAAGAAGTGAAAGGATGATTTTATTATTATTATTATTATTATTCAATTTATAAAGAAAGTAGGGTTAACTTCAGCTGTTTTTATTAGCAAATTAAATATTAAATAGAATGTTATTTTTTTTGCTCTGGATATAATGAACCTATTATATAGTGAATTGTACTATATAATGAAGTTAGAAAATTCCAATTTCATTATATACAAATTGTTCTTGATATAATGAATTTTAATATAAACTCTCTATATAAGCATATAATGAAGTTTGTCTTGATCCATCAATAGTAAAATAGATCTCCATATAATGAAGAAATCATTAAAACATGTCGATCATTCCTTTTAAAGGAAATAGTATTACTAGTAATAGTAATGAAATGATTAATGAAATTTCGCACAATATTTATGATTCAAAAAATCATCATGTAAAAAATCAACTAAATAAAAACTATTCATACAATATTTACAGTCTAAAATTACCTATGCAATAATGATTTAAAATTACCATCATGTAAAAAATTACTCACATAAATAATTACTAATAAAAAAGATCAATGTTTGATTTTGTCACATGTGATAAAACGAATGTCCACTATGCTACTAGAAAGATGGTTCACATAATTTGTTTCATTAATGTATTTTTTTTATTCAAATAATAAACATTAATATACTTTAACTAATAAAAATTTCACATGACATTTGGTGATCTTTTTATATAATGAAGTTTTTCCAAAAACAGATGCTTCACTATATCCAGAGCCAACTGTAGTATCTTCTGCATTTAGTGGCAATTCTGTAGTTACTTTTGGATTTGGTGATGATGATCCTGTGGTTGCTTCTGCTTTTATTGATGATGATTCTGTATTATCTTTTGCCTTAGGTGATGGTGATGGTGATGATGGTGGTGGTTGTGGTTGTGGTGATTTCGTGGTTTCTTCTACTTCTGGCAATGATGATTCTGGATTTGGTGATGTAGTTGTTTTTGCTCCAGGTGGTGATTCATTACCTATTTGGTAAAATTGATTTATTAATTATTTCTCATTAAATTTTTTATATTAGCAAAAAAAATATATATACCAGAAATTGAAGTAGCTTTATTTTTATTGGTATTATTGTCATTGTTGCTGTTGTCAACTAATTGCCTTGCATTAAGAATATTATTTTCATCATAAGTCTTCATACATTTTTTTATAATAAATGACTTCACCTAGATAAAAAAATGATTAAAAAGAATCAAAAATTAATTATTGTTGTTACTGTTATCATCAATCATTGTCATTATAACATTATAACAATACTAAGATTACAATAATTTTTTTCTTGCTTCAACATACTTATTAAATGATCATTATTTGTTGAAGAGCTATTACCATATACAAAGCATTTAAACAATTTATTTTTAAAAAGCAACTAGAGTAACAACAAGTGGCAGGCAATAACCACCACCATCCTTAAAACACTTATCCAGTGATGTTTTCTTGATTGTTTCCTTTTCTTTTTTTATTTTTCTTGTCATCAAATGACATTTTGAAATCTTTAAAAAAGAAGTTTGTGAATTGATTGATGGATACACATTAATTATTTATCTTGGTTTTTTTTTTGGGATGACAGATGCATATTAGTTGTGTGACATTTCCCTTTCTATATGTCAAAATTCGTGTCACATGAAGTTTTTTTTTAAATATCTCGTTATTTTTATAATAAACTCGAACTTCGTTGTTAGACTAAAATGAAAGTACTTCATTAAAGCTTTCTAATGAATACTCTTTCATATCAAAAGGTATCCTCTACATGAATTCATGGCTATCCAAAAATGGTATTACTTTTTCACTTCAAAGCTCAGATTATTTCTAAATATTGCTTTAAAAGACTTGATAGTAAATTAGAAGGTGTAGAATACTTTAAGCTTTCATATGGTCATTACTTTATGGGGGGTATTGGTTGATAAGTTTTAGAGAGGCTCACAAAAAACTATTTTATAGAAATTTTAATAGTCATGGAGAATTTATGTAGATGGGATTCAGCAAGAACTAAAAGGTATTTTATTAGTGATTGTTTTATATTGATTAAAGTTTCATTAATGATTATTATGAATATCCATCAAT